AGCAGTTTTGGGGAATAGCTTAAATATTTTGTTAGGAAATTGTTTTATGATTATATGGTTATGTTTTCCCACAGCAAAATAATGTAGTAGAGTAATGAAGTGACTGTGACTGGAAGGTATTTTTGAGTGTTTACTTGGAGTTTATTCTTGATTCTGATTGGTTGACAGACATTCCAAGGTGTTGATTAGTTTTCTATAACTTAACAACGTTAAATAGCTTTTAGTCTTGACCGCTTTACAGTTCTTTCATGGCACTGCTGCAAAACCCCCTTTTTGGAATCATTATTTTTCAAAGTGTAGTAAACTTGTTCGAGAGCATTTAAGGATAAAAACCTGAAAAAAATAGACCTTGCATAGACATACATGTGGTAACTGTGGTTTAAGCAGATTTGATTCTGGACAGCCACGTTGATGTGCTTTTAATTTAAAAAAAATTCAGCGGTCAATCATCAATTATTCCTCACACATTATAGTGCATTTGGTGGACAGAGGCAGGAGGGTTTTTGCCTATCCAGTGATGGTGTCTACAGATTGCGGCTGTTCTGGGATGGAGGCAGTGTTTTTTTGTGTGTTGTGGTTTAGAGGGGAGTCCTGTTTTGGGTGGGAGGGGCACGGACGAGGCCGGAGAAGTTCTGATATGAGGAGCGGACAAAGCGTGAAAGCCCCCAGCATGGAGTCTATGTCCCATTGTCCCGCCGAACCCTTCTGTCACTTTCATTTTACACCGTGCGCTCCGAAGTCAGGACAGCTTTGATATAGGGAAGGGGTGCAGGAGCGGATGGCGGGGGGCCAGAGGGGGATCTCGCAGAAGAAAAAAAAAACAGGACAAGCAAGGGAGAGAGAGATAGAGTCCGTGAGGTGTGAAATAAGATTGCTTTTTTTATCCAACAGTGCAGCGTTAAAGACAAGGAAGCTGTCTGTTGTGGGGCAAAATGAGGGGGAGAAGGAGGTAGATGGGGGAAAAAAGAAGAAGGGGAAATATGGCCCCACAGATTTACAGTGCTGTGCACTGTGACACCTGGTTAAAATGATAACCAGTGCTTCGGTAATCCTAATGAGAGTAATGAGAAAGAGCAGCCGCTCACAGAGAGACGGACTCACACCGCTCCACTGCGCTCCGGCTGGAGGAAGGGTGAGGCGAGGCAGGCCAGAGCCAATGCTAAACCTACAGAGGATCCCAAGAGCTTCTCAGGTACGGTTCCTCAACGTGTTTTCGAGAGCGCCAGACTGATTTCTGTCACGCTAGATGCTCGGTTTGTGTTATGAACGTGTACGGCCGGCCCTTCGGTCTGGGTATGAGAGGCTGGATGGAGCAGTGGTTACCATGTATTATTTATTTGGTGGTTTGTGCCTGTCAGTATGATTAGTATGTGTGTAATCACCATTCTTCTGGGGAAACGGGGGAAGGCGGCTCGGCCTCATCTGAAGGTAATCGCGCAGTCTTCTGAGTCTCATCGCTTGGCACGGACTTCCTGTCTAGCATCTGCTTTTGTCATCTCCACATATTTCCCAGTCCGCGTTCTGTATATATTTGTCTGTGCCTTTCTAACCTCTCTCTGCCTTCATCTGCTCTGTGTGTGTGTGTCTTGCCAATTTCTCTTCCTTGCTTGTATAGGGTGACACCTATAGGTCAGTGTGAGATACTGCACACTGGTATGGGTTTGAACGTTTCATCTGCAGTTTTCTCACACGTTATCATGCGTTTCCCGGTCCGCACGTACAGAATGAAAGTCCATTTTCTGTATCCCTCCACGTCTGGCTTTGTTGAAATGTGGGATTGCGGCTTCTTCTGAGAACAGACGTGCTTTGTAATTTTAGGCGCTGCGCTGCGCTGGGCTTATTCTGTTGGCGTGATTAGATTAAGGCAAAAGTTTAATATCACTGTAGGGTGACGGGTTAATGAGGACGATTAATTAGAAAGCCTAAGCTTCAGGGTATTGTCCTTTACATTTTTAGGATTTGGGTTAGCAAATGGCCTCTCGCCATTGCTGCGAGTGCTTCCTCTTAATCTATTTCCAGGCCAGATCTATGACTACATTTGGGTGGGATATTTCATTTGCAGCCTACTCTAAGGCCACTTGTGACCTTTCATTAATTATGGCTGGCCCGGGTTTAATCATTGTGTACTGCGGTGGTGGCAGAGATGAGGAATAGGCACATTCACTTGCCTCTTAGACACACAGCCATGGGTGGAATTAAATGTCTACCTATCTGCGTACCACTGGAGGGGGGAGGGTGTACAGTCGAGGAGAGAGATGTTGATGAGAAAAGGGTGAGAGATGATTTCGGGGTGGAAGCTGTTGCATGAAGCGACTCTCCATTAAGAGAAGGAAGTGTGCTAGAGCAGGAATTAGACACACTGGCGGCTCTTCCAGAAGTGTAAAATCTACCTGGGGATTATTTTGTAATCTGGCTGCTTCTGACGCTATATCATATAGTAATTCCCAGCCTGGCAAAGGTGGATTTATCTAGACGGCAGTGCATGTTGCTTTCATTTTTTTCTTGTGCCTTTCCAACCTGTTTCTCAGCCCAACGCTGTTGGGTAATGTTGGGTTATGGAGAACGGAAATTGCTCGTTGCCTGGGAAACATAACAGAAACAGGCACATTTGTGAAAGAATGAAATGTTTTATATATAGCCGGTTATTCCATTTTTACGTGCCGTCATTTAAACACAGAATCAGTGTGGGCCCTAGGTAATATGGCCTAAGTGCATAATCCATACTGCGATCAAGCGCTAGGTGCTTCATCTACACTGAACACAGGTGCAAATGCAAAAAGCACTGAGCAAATCACAGTTTTTTTTTGCTTTGCGAAGCTTTTGTGGTTAAAAAATAAATAAATAAAAAATAAGGCTGAGATGAAATTAACAACAGTTCTGTTTATCTATCTCCTCGTTCAAACCTGCACTCCTGTTATTATTGAATAATTTGCCTGTTTTTGCATTTGTTCATCTGACGTGTTATTGCCGTTATGCTGAAAAACAACTCTTGTGAATTAGCGCATGTAGTTTTATAACCTTGCAGTGTATGGAAGACTCTGTATACCAGTGTGTTCTTGTGTAATTACTTTCTCCCAGAATGCCACAGCGGAAACCACAGCGATTGTAGGCTTTGGCAAACGGTCTGCCCCAGTCGTGTTTCCTCTCGGTGCATCAATAATTAAAACAGTGCAACAAAATGCAGAATTACACATGGCAATCCACACAAGACCATCAGATGTGAATGGCTTTAACTGCTCTAGATACACACACACACAAATGGTTTCTTGTAGCACATTAAGTCAAGGAGATGGAAATGTTTAGAGATGTTGATGTATTACTCACAGCGAGAGAGTTATGGCGGAGGCGTTTATTAAATACGCCGCTCCATGTTCATGCAGAGACCAAAAAAGTGTTTTTGAAGAATGATGGATTGAGGTTTTAGTTTAACAGTTCTAGAAACCGAACACTGATGAGAATAAACTTTAATGGATTGCGGGGCGGCTTTTGGAAGCGGCTGGTCCAGATTCAAGTCGTGTCCCAGGCGGGTTTCTAAAGTGACTGGAACGTTATTGGAAAATAAAAGCTGTTTTAAGTTAAGGGTTCGAATATTGTCGTGGAATAGCAATCCTTGAGCGTGGAGATGAATATTTGAACAGGATATTTCAGTGGCCGTTGTTGTCCTGTCGATACGTCAATAACCCACCTGATAGAGTGTAGAGTGCAGGGGGAGGCATTTTCAAAAGAACATTTAAGTACATTTGCTGAGAATTAGCTGACTTGTGTAATAACTGATAAGGCTTATTGACTGCCACGGACTTTACTGTTGCAAAATCAATGTTTGTGTGTGCTAGCCATGGTACTTTTAAACAAGCTTGGCCCGGGAAAGGGGGTGCTCGGGGGGCACGAGGTGGGAATAAAAAGGATTGATGCCCATTTTATTATCTATTTTTCAGGATCTTCTCTCTGTTACTTACACATGGCATTATTGGAGATCCATTGTTGGGGGTTTGCTGCCTTTAAATGGCCTAATATGTTGAGCAGGTGGCTTTTAAGATGGTTACAGGGGATTTCTGCATTTGACTTGGCAAAATAAAATTAATAGCGAGCTGAGTATTTTATTTTTTTTTGCTTTGCATTACCTTGGGTTTAAAAATGAACTTAGCCCGATATTGGTGAGCAGGCCCGGCAGCAAACTGCAGCAAGGGACTGTAATTATGAACGTTGGGAGAGGTACTAGAGAGAGCGACACGCAGAAACTCTCCTCTCTCTTGAAACTCGCACAATTATTTTTCCTGTCTGCATGCTCGGAGCCGCTGTGGAAAATGTGTGTATGTCTCTACCACATGTGTGCGGTTTGCTGTAGTTTTATGTTCATATTAAACAGAGGAAGCCATAAAGATATTTGTGTCATGGTCCTGCATTAATGAAGAATTATAACTGTGGAGTTGAGGCTCGTTTTAAAAGAAATCTCTATAAAATGATGCCATCAAAAATATAAGACATTATTAAAATAATCATGAGCTTAAAAGGATAAAATGTGTAATTTGGTAATTTGCAAATGCATTTTGGAGACACAAATATACTATTACAGAAAAATGCAAGTGTGTGTGTGTATATATATGTATAAGAGTGTGTAAGGATATAAGTATATAGAAAATTTTATAAATATATGAGCGTATTTTATTTCTATATTATAGAAAAAGATAATACACTCATATGTATTTATACAGTTTTCTATATGCATATAAAATATAATAGGAAAAATATATTTATATATATATATATATATATATATATATAATTTTTTTTTTTTTTGCTGTTGTATTTTCTATAATTGTATGGTCCAGGATGTGTGGTAGGAGAGAGAAGCAGCTTTGTCTTGTAACCTTGTAAATGCTTGTCAGAGAATGTAATTGTTGTGCGCTCCTATAGAAAAAAACACTGCCGTCCCTTTAAGTGCTTCCACCAATTCTGATGGAGTGCTGATTTACATATCCCATCCTCTCCTCCCCCTTCAGGAGAGCTGAGTGAGGATGTGGAGGCTGCCAGTGAAACCACCACAGATCAGGAGGACCAAACCAAAGACAGAGAGTGTGGGGGGGAGAGGGAGCTCACCAAAGGGACAGGTAAGCCCTATCTTTCAATTCACTATACAAGGGGTCCAATATAACAGGGGGCTGTTAGATTTTAGGGGTTTCTTTTACACATAGACACTGAGAAACCTTTATATTCCACAGCTTTAGTGTTGTGGCTTATTAAATAAGGTGAAGTTTTACCACAAATATGTCAGTGCACTTTTAAGAAGCTCAAATATTTCCAAGAATTAAGCTTCATTTAAGATATTCCGTTTCTCACCCCTTAGGATTTAGTTGGAATTCCCAGGAAAAATTATCCCTGATTACGGCGAATCTGGTCAAGTGACAAAAACACAAGTCAGGGCCTGCTTACAGAGTTACAGCGCGGCCATGTGTCTAAACACATGTGACCGTGTTCTCTGCCTCACACACACACACCTCTGAAGAATGCTGTCAGATAGGAGTATTTTGCAGGCGGGGATGGGGGTGGTTGTGGCAGGTGCAGGTGTCAGGTTTCATAGAGAGGTGTGGTTTAAGAGGAGGGGGCTGCTCGGGGTGTTGGAGTGGAGTGGATTGGAGTGCAGAGGAGAGAGAGGCCTGTGGAGGTGTAAGTGGAGATCAGTGGTGTGTTGCTGTGGCGCTGATGTGTTCGGAAAGCTGCGAGGGCCTGCAGCACGTGCTGCGTTACAAGCTGGTGTGTGCATGCACTTGTGTGTGAGAGAGTCAACTGGACTATTGTTTGTTACTATCATATGTACCTGTGCATGGTATGTACCATTTTAAAATGGCATAACTCTTCCTATTAGGTCTCATTAGTTAATGTTAACTAAAATGAGTTAATGCACTAACTAAAATTAACAATAAGTAATACATTAATTACAGTATTTATCAATCTTTATGTTAGTTATTAAAAAATGCAGGTGTATATTGTTGGTTCACATCAGCTCAGGTCTCTTAAACAATTAAATGATTAACATATAATTAATACATGTTTTAGAATTATTTTTCATTGTCAGTTCACTAATACTAACGTAGTTAACTAATGTTAACAAATTAAACCGTATTGTAACATGTAACCAAAAAAGGAATACAAATGATAAAATATGAATATGAAAAATCTTATGTAATTTAATTCAAATTGAACTGTGTTCTTTCAAACCCCAATCAAGACTACCTCTAATGTGTTTTGCTGAAATCAAAGATTTCTTACAAAATAGTTACAAACCCATACATGAAATAAAGTGCAGAGGGTGATAATTTTGAAAACAAAATGTGTTTACATTTTTTAAAGCAACAAAAATATATATATATATTTTTTTAAATAAATGTTAATAAATAAATCATTTTAAGCAGTTAAGAAATATTCATGGTTATTCCCATGCCTTTTCAGTCATTTTTAAGGAAACAAAATGACCATAATAATAATGTGTTTATAATAATAATAGATTTGTTTGGATGCCAGATTTAGAAGAATATATGTACTACCTGGTTGATTTTTTTTTCTATTTAATTTTTTTGGTGACTTTAATAATAATATTAGTAAATGATATCTAGTGTAATATGGTTTAATAGGAAAGCACTTATAGTTTGGTCACAATGAAGGTATACTTACTGGTGGTGCTGGGTGTATAAAACAAAAAACCATTGGGAAACACATCAGTACTTATGCATGTGTGTGTGGTTTGGAACTTGAGCATTAGTCATGTCCTTCGACAGGTGCACGCCGGTCTGAATGTTCGGTGTCCATTCTTGCTCGCCATCTCGCGTTTGAAGTTCCATTCACGTGGAGTTCAATTGGTGCCAGTGTATGGAAGCTGTTTGATTGCAAGGAGGAAGCAGTCAGCGCATGCACCTGTCTGGAACAAGTTTTTTCACTCCAGCTGTGCCTCACAGGCGACAGGATACAACTTTATATCTTCATGATAGCAATTTTAGTCTTTTGCATGTTCCACATTTTATTATTATTATCATTATTTTTTAAATCCCAAACTACAGCAAAAAAAAAGTTCATTGGAGCATTTGAAGGCAAATCTTTTAAAACGTCTTTTGATTTTTTTTCAACTTTCATTTTAAATGAGGCTGAGTTGTTTGTGCACTTTGAGCGAGTGCCACTCGGCTTTGATGGGGAGAAATAATGATATGCATCGCTTGCCTGAAAATGGCTAAAAGTATATTTTAACACATCAAAATAAAGCACTTTAAAAAGCATTAAAATGAGCTGCTTGATTAATAATTCAGCCGTTACCTGTGGTGCCGAAGAAGACGCAAGCTCTGCGCATTAGGAGTCCTGCGTCTTTTTCTGAAAGGCATGCGATTCCATACAAGAATATTCAATTCCTTTCCTCCCCCTGTCAGTTGCTAATCACCAAATAAGTGTGTTTCTGTGTTTTCACAAAGGAAAGATGTGCTTGCGTATGAAAAATTTACAGGCTTCCCAGCAGCTTATTAGGAACGCTTAGTTAAAAATAGCGTGCATTAGGAAGCCAGGTCTAGGGTGCCGTTTGATGTCTGAGGAGAGCTGGAGAGGGGAGGAAGGAGTGAGGGGGGTGGAAGAGTGAAACCTGGCGGTGTTGTGATCTAAGATACTGGTGCTGCTTTAATGGAAGCTCTTTTATATTCTTTTTCTAATCGTGTTTAGAACTAGCTTTCATGATTGATGGACAGAGCGACGTGAGACGAGAGGCTTTCTGAACTCTGCCTGGGAAACGCTGGAATGCTTTTAGTAAACAGAGGCGCTCTTGTTTTGGCTGGAGATTGTCTGAGAATGCATCAACGGTGAGCCACTGGACTCCTCTGGCTAACCTGTTATTTCAAGGCACGCATCCGAGCGGATTTGAGTCACCCTGTCTGCACTGGCTGTTTTTAGGGCCTGTCATTAGTGTTGTTGAAGTTTTTCCCTCTCATCCTAGTCATGCGAACACAGAGTGTTGAAACGTGCTTTGCAGATGACTCTCGGGTTGAGCATGTTAGTACCAAGCCATAGTCAAGCCGTGGCCGATCTGATGGGTCTCTTTTGAACAAGTCATTTAGTGCTGGATGGGAAAGCTTTAGGCATGTCAACACATGCAGACACCTTTTTCAAGGTTACCTTAATTAGGTTAGTATAAGCCTTCCAGAATTATATGAAATATAAAGCTCAGCCTCCATCCATTGGGTTAACATTAGTGCAATGGGTTGATCGGGCGTTACTAAAGAAAGAGGGGTACAGTAGATGTGTGGCAGAAAATAAGGATAGAGTGCATAACGGATGGACTGAGAACGTGGAAGATACGTGCCAATGTGGAGCGGGATTGTTAATTCACTTAAGGACTGGAGGAGCAACCACAAACTGATCTGAGATGTTTAACATAAATATAGGTGGGGAGGGGGCGGTTTACAGGCAGGGGGGTCTGCGGTCCTCGGCAGGTTTATGAATGATTCCTTTCAACCCCCAACTTTCAAATTACTGGGGTTATAGTGAGGGAGGGAGAATAATCTGATGCAGGTCAGATGCTATCTGACACGGCAGCAGCAGCTTTCTAAATTGGTTCCATCTCTTTTGCCTTATATATTTACTTAAATATATGAATGTCAGTGATTGGATGCACAGGGGACGGTGTGTGTGTGTGTGTGTGTGTGACACTGACAGGATCGACAGCATTGAGAAGGACAGCAAAATAATTGTCCTCCGACTGCAAGGTGAACATTAGCACCCCCTGGATGCAGAGCAAGTGTATTACAAGCGGGTCTGTTTCCATCTCCAGCGTTATTTCATGGCCTTGATGTCCATCAATAGATTTTACAGGAGTTGATGTGAATAGGCAGGAGCTCTAGCCGCGGTGTGTTATAATTGTAGTAAATGCAACCGTAGCTGTCAGGCTTGTCAGGCTTTATCGCTGAAGAAATGGTACATATACAGATGAAAAATGTCATGATTTTTATGATGCCATATTCATTGCGTCATCCTGAGGGTGTTTTAAGATGAATTTACCGGGTAGTGAAACAATCTGAAAAGCATGTCACTGAAGTTCTTCCTAACACCCTCTCTCTGAAATGAAGCATCGATCAGAGCCGTTTTAAAAGTACAGACGTGTTTGCATATTCATATTGTGTCCTTTAAAAGCTTGTCATCCCTTAAATTAAAATAATTTTTGTCTTGCGGACTAATAGGCTATAAATTGTCCTTGTTTGTGAGCCAGCACTCACAGAGACCTGTGTTTATGAGTTTTACTCCCTGTATTCTAATTGGCATGTCATCCTGAGAGAGAGAGAGAGAGAGAGAGAGAGAGAGAGAGAGTTACATGTATGTGTGTCAGTGCGTGTATGTCCTCTAAAGGTGATTGCAGCGTTAGCTCCCGCCTAGCCATCGGAAGATTAATAACACGTCCACTAATTGATATCTCCTTTTAATTTCTTCATTTTACATTTGTCTTTGTAGCAGTCATGCCTGTGGGGTTACATGGGCACTTCCTTTGCAGAGCCGTGGAGGTGGTCCTTTCATTTAATAGTGGGTTATACACCAAGGGAACTGTTATATGATAAGCCGCAATATGGAGTGGCGTTGGTGTTAGGCTTTGGTTGTAATTTTCTTTATTTGAAATTAATTGATGCAGAGTAATTACCTGAGAAATATGAGGTGAAATGGAATATAGCCTTTTGTTGCTCAGGGCACCGACGCGGCCTGCAGATTAAAAAGAGGAGGGATGAAAGGGGGGGCGGGAATGAGCAGAAAAAGATAATATTCAGTTATTGTTAGCCATGGTAAAAGTGAATGACTTATAGCACTGGGGAGTTGGACCGCTCCTTCGTATTAATGGTTAAATAGAAGAGGGACTGGGAGGAGAACTGTCACGAGGAGCGGAGAGAGAATGTCTGGGGACAAAAGCAGGACAGACGAGAGAATGATGGAATAGGTTTGACCTCCTGAAAAGAGAAGCATGGGATGCTGTTGTCCATGCTTCTCAACTAGCCTAACCAGCTAGTTACCCTGAAGGACCATGCTTGTTGATCACCTTTGGACCAAACTGATCTAACCACCATATGTTGATGCTTGTGTTGCAAAGTGGTGAGGTGGGCTGGATAAGGTAAAGACTAATAGACCGCTTGGCGTTTCCTTGGCGTTAGGTTTTTGCAAATGCACATGCTGTACTCCATATGCCAGGATAAATCATTTTCTGCTCCTTCCCTGTCCGCCCACTTTCAGTGTCCAGTTAGTCTCATTGGAGATGACTTCCCAATGACACCTGGGTAATGATATGATGGCAGCTGTGCTTACATTTGTGGACATTTTCAGTGGTGCAGGACTTGTTGCATTACTGCTGCCATGCTTGTGTCAGTCATATACTTCTGTGGTGCCTCCCTTCGCTAGAAGTGCTTCACATCTCTGATTTAGAGGCTTAGCACTCAGCACTGACAGCCTTCTCTGGCTGGCTGAGAAATGCTTCTCAGCTTCAGGGGTTGAGAGAAGGTGCCAAAGTCCAATTCACTTACGGGACACTCCAGAACAAAGACCTCCTGCTTACGGAAAAGGCCCATGAATAAATAATCACCTAATTGACTTTTAAGACTTTTTTCACTGCTTCTTTTGTGATGTCAGATGAATGTTGGGGCGTTGTCGCTGTCTCTGTGGGTTTTGCTGCAAGCGCGGTCTACTGCTGAATGGTAGAATTGAGGTCAGATGTACAGATACTGCATTAGGGTGGTTTTGAAAAAAGGCACAGGGGGCGAGAATTGCACACAGGCAGGCTGAAATAGTTCCCACTCCTGCCTGTTAAAAACCGTGTGGCTTTAAAAACAAGAAAATACTACAATACAAATACAATTTTTTAGTGTAACACTGTGTTTCTGGGAGAGAAAATCACATTTAGACACGTACTGAATATCAGTTATGTTATAAATACACATTAGGTTAAAATTTTGCAATTTTGAGATTATTTGTGTGGGCTAATATTTGGCTATTTAAATACTATTTTTGATTATTTTGAAATTCGTATGTTAAACTGTTGGAAACTCTTTGCTTTGTTTAAGGTCGTCACCAAGGTGCTTTGTTTCCATTTTAAGCACTGCCCCCTAAATGTATATCAACTACAATGTATCACTGCTTTAGTTAGTCTTATGATTGTAGATCTAAGACAGATTCTTAAATGTGTAACCCCACAGTATGTATGCATGTATATGACTTTGTCTTCATCTCCTTTCACATTTTGTCAAATTTTATTAAATACATATTACCCTGCTCTTAAGATTTGGCCTTCGAAAACCCATATTGGTCTACCACTAGTACACACAGTGAACATACCAGAGCCTGACACACATAGCCAGGTTCATGAGCAGAGACCAGGGAAAGAAAGAGAGACCCCAGCCATCAGGTTCTGGTCATGGTCTCTAATAATGGATCTGACCTGCTCAGATGTTGAGGCATGTTCCTGCGGCCGCCCAACCGTGCCGAACACACACACATTGCACATGCCAACAGTCCCTTTTCTTTGCCTGTTTATTGGTCTCCATTTTGTTCAAGCGTGCTCTGTGATGATGTTTTTTCCCTGCTTTCTCCCTCCGTCTCTTGACAACAGAAAACAGGATACGGTAGCTGGGCTTTAGTCACGGGGGTTTGGTGGCAGAAGTGGGTTTTTGGGGCTTTTTAAAAGCAAACAATTGATCAGATTTATGGAGTCCTAACAGGGCGTGACGAGGTGCGGCTGTGCCCAGAGGCAGCGGGCCACCCTCCCCTCCACACGTGCTGCAGGCCTCCGGCAGGCAGCTGCTCCCTTGACCTCATGTTATTCACTTGCAATTGCCTATTAGACAGAATTTACAATGAAAAAATTTACAAGTAATACTCAAATAGTGTACTTAACCCTTTTTCAATCATACTTAGAGTCTCAGGCAATTGTTTTGTTGGTTTATTTACATGTATTTAGCTTAAAAGCATTTAGCATAAAAGCATTAGCTAAACCGTTCTGTGTTTTAAACCACTTTGCCTACTTTTCTCTCTATCCTGCACTCCCTAACAAAAACGTACCATGGTGACCACAAAAATACCACAGCTACTGCAGGGACTGCCACAGAGACAGCCAGGAGCAGTGCAGTAAGAAGGAAGAGGATGGAGAGTGGAGGTTAATGGCAATGAATGGGAGGTTCCTTTGTTTAACATTTCCTTTGTTTATTGGTGGATGTGTCTAATGGTATTGGCCATGACTGGACCTAATAGGGCAGCACTGGCTGATTGGGGGAGTCTCTGGGAGCCACAGCAGGCAGCGTTCCCCAAAGTAAGGCCCCCCACTGAAGCCAGCGCTCAGCTGCCCTGCTCTGATTGGACCTGACACTTTAATGTCTGCCCAAGGAACATGGTCAGTCCGGCTTAAACTGACCCCCACAATCCCCTGCTCTCAATTTGCCCTTTCTGGACTGGACAAATCATGCCAAATTTAACTCTTTATAGCCTCGTTATGGGCTGGTGAGAGAGAGCGTCTTAAGTTTCCCTGTGAATTCTTTCCCCTAGCAGCATGAACAGTGTGTTCTCTCGACCCCTCTCTGGCTTAGAGTGGATTTAGTTTCTATACGAGCTGATTATTTTTACCATGTGCTCTGATATTGCTGTGTATGGCCACCTCTAGTTTGCTTTCTTCAACTTTATTGTTTTATCCATGCGTTCTTGTTAGCTAGCTTGAGATGTAGGAATCAGTTTGTTTTTTTTTTGTTTGTTTTTTTTAGAAATGAATGAGCAATAGATTCAATGTTAGCAACCAACTTACATATTTTGCTAGTTTGCGAAGAATCTTTTCTTAAAAACTATAGCAAAATGTAACAAGAAACTTGTGCAAAACTATAAGATTTGCTGAAAATCAAAATAACTAGGGAATGTAATTTTGTATTCCAATAAGAAGTGCAAATAAGCAAGGGAAAAGAATTGAAATAGGAACCAGAACAGAACTCTTTCTTCTTTATACATTTTGAAGCCGCCTGTGGTATATTTGACTCTTTTTTTTGTTTGTTTTTTTTTTTTAGAAATGAATGAGCAATAGATTCAATGTTAGCAACCGACTTACATATTTTGCTAGTTTGCGAAGAATCTTTTCTTAAAAACTATAGCAAAATGTAACAAGAAACTTGTGCAAAACTATAAGATTTGCTGAAAATCAAAATAACTAGGGAATGTAATTTCGTATTCCAATAAGAAGTGCAAATAAGCAAGGGAAAATAATCGAAATAGGAACCAGAACAGAACTCTTTCTTCTTTATACATTTTGAAGCCGCCTGTGGTATATTTGACTCTTTTCAAGTTGGGCGAATCCCTTCGCTGAAGCCACACTTCAAATGGCTTCATCTGAGAGAGCATGCATCCTAAAGCTGCTCACCGTGGCAAACTAATGTTTTGATTAGATGTCTGTGCCGGTGTCTGATGTCCTAAACATCCAACATAGGGAAAGACAAGCTGTCAAAGCATGGCGCACTGCCTCTTCTAAGTGCCATGGGAGGAGCGGTTAAAAGACTACATTGGTTTGGAGGGGTAGCAGCCTGCCTTAGCAATCCTCCAGCCTGGCTGTTACCTGTTCAATGCCTATATCACAGTTTAGAAAGGCATGCTACTCACTTCCTTACAGAGAAGTGACTGCAGTTTCTTAATTGTACCGTGAGTGTGGCAACATCGGTACTAAAAACTGCTGTAATACTGCATCCATTTTTTTTTTTTACATGTAATCGACATTGTAAGTGAAGATATGACTGCGTGTGGCATGGTGATATGACACCGGATTTGCACCACATGAACGCTAATGCTCAGCATTTGTTTACCTCACTTTTACCGAAATAGAGAAAGCTGCAGAAATATATTTAATTCCCATTACTACACATGCACTGTTGTACTGTAGACTCCAGTTCCTGTATTCCCACACTGTTGTAGCTATCAAGAACATAAAAAAGTGTATGAACACAAATATCTTGAAAAAACTTTTTTCTGATTTTCACGTTTCTTGAGTATCATCAAACCAAAGGCAAAGAACGATGCTTTGTTTCAACATTAGCAAGTTAATTTATTACCACATTTTAATTTTAGTCTGCTTTTACTAGTAAGCTGAGCATAGCAGGCTTCATAAAAGCCATTTTAACTGTGATACATTTTTTTTCATTTGTGCAGTACTGCATCATTATACGGCACAAAACTGCAGTTTTACTGCGTTTCATTTTTGTAAAGGCTGGCTTATTGATTGCTTGCATGCCCTGACTGCCAAATCGGTGCTGTGTTTTGACAAGTATGCTTCTTTTTGTGTCTATGACAGCATCCAACCAATCGGAGAGGGATCAGACGGATTCCCCGGTCCCCTCCAAGCGGCCTTCTTCGAGGTCTGAGGCAGCAGAAAGCCCCCTCTCATCGAAACGACCCAGGACCACTGAGAAGAGCAGTGGAGAGCAGGTATGGAGGAAAATCTACAGCCTCTGCGAAACATTTAGAATTATCTCTGTGTGTTTTTGTGAAGTAGATTCAGATAGACCTTAACTAATCCCCAGGCATGTAGGTCTCATTAACTGTACCCATTAATTAACAAAATATCCAAGGATGTTGTTTTCAGCCCTTTTTAATATAGAGTAGTAGAATGTAGCAGGACTTTTTAAATAATGCATGCATTTTTTTTCATAAAAATATTATATTTCTCCATATTTTCTGCTGCTTTTGCAGTGCTAATTGTGCAAAAGGTGAAAAATCAATATGATATTTGACAGATGAGAGCCCTTTGAAGTGTCTACCTCTCAGAGTAGCCCACTGCTCACTGCATGGGAGATAGACGAGCCTTGCTTTGCCCTTGATTTTACCACTCTTCTCAAATAAGTTATTTTTCTACCTTCTCGTTATTGTATAGATGTACCAGTGCCCCTACTGCAAGTTCAGCAACACAGATCTGAACCGGCTCAGAATGCACGTGATGACGCAGCACTCAGTGCAGCCCATGTTCCGCTGCCCGCTGTGCCAGGACATGCTCAACAACAAGGTCCACCTGCAGTTCCATCTCACTCACCTCCACAGCGTGGCACCAGACTGCGTCGACAAGCTAATTGCCACAGTAAGTTACCGCAGAAGAGTATTTAGGGGGCGATCACAGTAGACTTCGCCTTCCATTTCAAATGCATGCATTTGTTTCCTTTTTTACTTCCCCAGTCAGAAGAACCTTACAAAATATTTCCCATTCAGTCTCTAGTGGATGGATATTTATTAAGCCCAGTTAATTTCTCTCTGCGATCTTTTTGTTTTTCATGTGAGACCTCACTGCCATTCTGTTGTGTGGTGTGAAGGCCATATGCTTTTTATGCACGCAAAAGCAGCATGGCCTTACTGCCATGTTCAGTAGTAATCATCATGTCAGACATTAACCTCAAAAATGACTCACAGTTTCTTGCTCACGCTGCCTTTGTGGACCGAAGGTTGTTTCCTTCTGTCTAATTTGTGACATTTTAAGGCTTTATTAAAATCGCCAAAGGAAACTGTTCATTGTTATATGGCCCTTGGGAATCCTGTATATTCAAAATGAGTTGTGCAAGGCAAACGCATGAACATGTCTGGGAGTAATACTGGTTAGGTATTATTATGGTCAATATAATTTCCCTGTTTTATTACAACGTTACATTCCCCAAAGTTTTTTTTTTGCTCATTTTTACCTCAGGGGACTTAATGGAGATCTCAGTTATGTTTCAAATGTTTGAGATTCTAGTGAAAAATGTCACTTTTGATCGCAGACATCATCTTGGCAGATCAGAACACATTTTGTGACACTGTCGAGATCTCTGAAACTCTAGAAGAGATGCATTACTAGGGTCTTCTCAGGCAAAAATTATGCGAACAAGTAGACTTACGCAAGCCTTGGTTTGCTCTCTATTTAATTTCAGAGCTGATTAGAAGAAACAGTTGGTTTGTAGAAAGTAGATGAATATTGTAATTATTAACTTTAGAAGAAATGTTCTCGGTTTAGTGGAAAAATGAGAAAAGCCTCTTGTGATTACCAAGGCCATTTGTATTCCAGGCACTCACTAGAAGCAGTAATACTTACATCATCCCTTTACATTATTTCCACCTCTCTAGTCCCAGAGCGCTCAGGCCTCCAGAAGCCTAGTCTGCCTGGTCCCTCAGAGAATACTCACCTTATTCCATTTCAGCTTCTGCTGAGACAACCCTGCTTTCATGGTTTTTTTTTTTTCACTGAATTTAACCAGTGAAATAATTACGTATAAGTTTGCCTGTGGTGTTTGAATTGCTTGCTTGGCCAATCACTCTGAATTCTGTGAAGGCATATCCACTCCCCCAGCCCGAAAGCAAATGGTGAACACATTAGTAGAGGCCAGACAGCAATATTTTTTCTTTTATAGAGGTAATAACGCACCGAGCGCTGTACAAGTGTGGTGCATGATAGAAACTGAGCTAATACAATGCACATTAAAACCAGCACCTTTTTTACAACTAACGAGAGATGGAGAGGTACTCTATCCTGTTCCTCGTGTCAGGCAGACAAGCTTAATGAATTCTGAATCAGGTGACTTTTATTTCTTGCAAACATTGCATAAAGATGCACTCTCTTCCACTCACCCTACCTCCTCCTTCTTCCTCTCCTCTCTCTCTCTCCCTCTCTCGCTCCCTCACTCTATGTCTAATGTTCTGTCTGTCTAAGATAGGGGTAATGAAAATAATTGTGCTTCATTAATTCTGAGCCTGGCTAGATGATAGCCATTTGGAACTATGTTTGCCAATTAGACGGTCCAAATTAAAAGTGACCTTGGGATACTCTCAGCACTCGGCGCTCTTTGCCTAATGATGCAGTTGTCTAGAAACAGTCCACTTTGTAATGTTAATCACAGGCATGTTTTGTTTCTGAAATTCTCCATACTGGTCACAATCATTTAACACTTTTAGTTAAAAAGAGAGTGGGTGAGGGAGGAAGCTAAAAAGCAGAAAAAAGGGCTACATTTTGTCCAGTGTGCTTTTGATTGCAGTAACCAGATGTTTATGGACGGCTCTGGTTCACTGACTATTTCTCAGTGTTTCAGGCTCAAAGACATGGGGTTGCGTGGCACTCTGTATTTGATGGCACTGAGTTAAAGCTGCTGGCTGTGGTTAGGTTTTAAATCCACTATAAAACAGCTCCATCTCTCAGATCTCAGAAGACTAGTCAAACAGCCATGTAATGATACTATGTTTGCTTAGGTCTCTCACAGGAAAATAGTAGTTTTTGGTTAACATAACCTTAATAACTTGACTAATTTTATAAGGTATGTTAAGTTTGAAGAAAGTTATGTAATCAACATTCAGTTCAGTTTTTGTTTAAAAAAATAATGACGTAATGCTGATGTCTTGTGTAAGAAAAATCGAATTGGGTTGTCTCATGGGGAGGAAAAAGAGGCACAGAGTTTGCAAGGGCACAATCAAGGGATGAACAAATTATACATGCAGAGAGAGAGAGAGAGAGAGAGAGAGAGAGAGAAGGGGGATATATTTGTGGGATTGGGGTATAAGGTATGTTAAGTTTGAATAAAGTTATGTAATCAACAGTTCATTTTTTGTTTAAAAAAATAATGACGTAATGCTGATGTCTTGTGTAAGAAAAATCGAATTGGGTTGTCTCATGGGGAGGAAAAAGAGGCACAGAGTTTGCAAGGGCACAATCAAGGGATGAACAAATTATACATGCAGAGAGAGAGAGAGAGAGAGAGAGAGAGAGAGAGAAGGGGGATATATTTGTGGGATTGGGGTATTGAAATGCATGATGAGTGAGGTTGATTGTTCAGTTTGGGGAGTTAATTGAAGGAAGGTGAAGCACACAGTGGCTCATCTCCCAACCCTTTCTAATCTCAATCACTGATTATTGTTAAATAGGATCCTGTTAATGAATCTGTTTTTTATTATTATTCTGAGAAAGAGAGAGATAGCGAGGGAGTGAGAGCCATGCAAGGAGAATGATGTGCACTTAAAAGATAGAAGGGAGGTTGATGTCATTCACACTTGATTAACTTCAACCTTTGAAATGCCAAGCAAACCTTGGTGCACCTTTATCACAACAATATTCATTGCTGCTTTTAATTTTCTAATTAAATTGACTGAAAAACATGCTGCTTGCCATCTACCTACATTTAAATGTATCTAAATGTTTTATTAATGACTTTGTATCAAGTAATAATTTGCATAATTGTTTAGATTAAAATATTCTGGTTTGCTGGAAAACATATTAATGAGCGCTGTATGTTAAATTAAGAGTGCTGATCATTATCCAGAAATTGACAGTTGTTGCATTACCCAGAATTCCAGGCTGAATGATGGCATTTAACCATTGCACCATGCTTTTCTATTGGAATGAAAAGCACATTTCATGAGGTGGAAGACTTATTTAATTAGGCTCTCTAATAAGCTTTTCAACTGGCCAAGGTAGACCACTCAGCCCATCACACTAATTGGCTGCAGCAGCAGAACTATCGCAGAGCATGACAAAACACCATTAGTGATCAAAGTGCAAATTCCATGGATGGCAAATTTAGTCGCCTTGTGAAAGGGGGGGACAGTAAATGTGTTTGTGTCCAGTTCAAATAATATGATTATCTTGTCAAATTATTTGTATGTTTATAGCACATCTCTCACCTGTACCACCTCATATGAATCTTTTTCTTTTACAAATTTGTTTACAATGAAGGATTACTGCATATGATGCAGAAATGTTGTCTGTTTTGAATGTGTAACTTTGAATGTGTAAGTTTGCCTTGTCATTTACGTTAATTTGAGATGTTCTATGTTTCTTATCAAGAGTCTATTGTTTAAGGCCTATAATTAACCTAACAACTACTATGTTTTTCTTTTTCAGGTGGCAGCATCAGAAGTACTGCCAGCAAGCATGTTCATACCAGTCCCTGGACCAGAGATAGATACTCAAACCGCACCTCAGTCCATGGTCAACTCAAACTCTGATGACATTAAGAAACAATCAGGTTAGAATGTTGCGCAATTGAGGACAAACATTTTAAAAACACACAAATATGTTTATGTTGTCAGAATTTTAATGTGTGTTATTTTTCTGATTGCAGAGGTGGCAGATGTTGAGCCTGAAAAAGGAGTTTGTCTGGCCTCAGACACTGTTGAAGCTCGCAAGTCTCCTCTTGAGGAACAGCAGCCTGCAAGAGATGATTCCACCGGTTTCCTTTGCTGGAAAAAGGACTGTAATAAAGTCTTTAAATCCTCCAATGCCCTTCAGATGCACTTCAATGAGGTCCACAATAAAAGGCCCCAACTGCCTGTCTCTGATCGTCATGTCTACAAATATCGCTGCAACCAGTGTAGTTTGGCATTCAAGACAATAGAGAAACTTCAGCTGCATTCCCAATACCATGTAATCAGAGCAGCCACAATGTGCTGTTTATGCCAGCGCAGCTTCAGGACCCTACAGGCACTTAAGAAGCATCTGGAGACCAGTCACCTGGAGTTGAGTGAAGTTGACATCCAGCAGCTCTATGGAGGTTTACTGATGAATGGAGACCTAATGATTATGGGTGATCCCTCACTTGGAGAGGACCAGGGAGCTCTTATTGATGATGAGAAAGAGGGAGACGAAAGTGACCCAGAGGAAAAGCAAAGCCCAACTGGCAGTGACTCTGGATCTTTGCAAGAAGATTCTGGATCTGAACCCAAGCGAGCCCTGCCATTTAGGAAAGGCCCCAACTTTACTATGGAGAAGTTTCTAGATCCGTCCCGTCCTTTCAAGTGTACAGTCTGCAAAGAGTCATTTACCCAAAAGAATATTCTTCTTGTACACTACAACTCTGTGTCTCACTTACACAAAGTCAAAAGGGCTCTACAGGAATCCACCACCGGTCAGCCAGAGCCTACCAGCAGCCCTGATAATAAACCCTTCAAGTGCAGCACTTGCAATGTAGCATACAGCCAGAGCTCTACACTGGAGATTCACATGCGCTCTGTTCTTCATCAAACCAAGGCCAGGGCAGCAAAGCTTGAAGCAGCTGGCGGCACTTCTAGTGCTGTTAGCAGTAGTGGCCCAAGCGGAAGCACTTCCAATAGCACTTCAACCCCAAGCCCTATTCCAGCCACTAACTCAACTACCAGCTCCAGCAAGAGCAGCAGCTCTCCAGCTGGAGCTCAGACAGCACAGAGCATCATGGGAGGTAATCATCTGTCAAGTCATTCTCACAATGTTGAGAATTTGGGTAACTCAGCCTGTCATCCCTCTCCTTCTGAGAATCATGAAGTGAAAAAGAAGAAATTTACAGATATGCTATCCTCGAGGGGTCATCAGCAGCAGCTCCAGCAACAGCAGCAGCAGTTGGCCCAGGCTCAAGCACAGGCACAGGCTCAGCTCCAACAAGAGCTCCAGCAGGCTGCTCTCCTTCAGTCCCAGCTTTTTAACCCTCTTCTCCAGCACTTCCCTATGACAACAGACGCTCTTCTCCCTCTTCAGCAACAGCAGCTGCTCTTTCCATTTTACATTCCTGGGGCAGAATTTCAACTGAATCCAGAAATGAACCTGAGCAGCTCTTCATTGAACTTCAGTGGATCTGCTGCTTCACTGTTGGAAGAACAGAAAAACTCTGCCCAGCAGAGCTGCTTACAACAACAGCTTATGCACCACCACCTTCAGCAACAGCACCAATCTCATTCCCACTCCCAAGGATCGAGCCAAATGGCTTTACTTCAGCAGAGTGCCCTTTCTCATCCTGTAGACAAAAAGTCAAAGCCATCTCCTCACACTGAGAAAGAAAGAGAGCTGCCAAAGGATAAAGAAATTAGTGATAAAGCTGAGGATCATGTTCCGAAAGATATGTCAGACAAGTCCAAAGAAAAGAAAGATCCTCCTCAAGCTGTTGTAAATGTGAACCATGACTCTGGATTTCCTCCTCCAAGGATTGCCTCAGATGCCCGAGGGAATGCCACCAAAGCCCTACTGGAGAATTTTGGCTTCGAGTTAGTAATTCAGTTCAATGAGAACAAGCAAAAAGCACAAAAAAAGCCAACAGGATCTCTGTCAGGATGCAGTGGGCCAGTTGGTATCACCAGAGTAGTTGACCCTATTGAAGGATTAGAGAAACTGGAGTGTGAGTCTTGCGGTAAGCTCTTTTCCAACATATTGATTCTCAAGAGTCACCAGGAGCATATCCACCAGGCTTTCTTTCCGTTCAGATTCCTAGAGAGATTTGCCAAAGAATACAGGGAACAATATGACAAGCTGTACCCACTGAGACCTCAGACACCCGAAGCTGCTGCACCTCCTCCACCGCCTCCACCCCCACCCCCACCTCCGCCTCCCCAGAGGGTACCAACACCAAATATACCCGTTTCTGCTCCTACCCTGACACCACCAACTGCTCCAACTCCTCAGCCTTCAGTTCCACTGGCCCAAATTCCAATGTCAATGGATCTGCCTCTCTTCTCTCCACTTATGATGCAGCCCATGTCACTCCAGTCATTACCTTCTCAGATTCCTGCCCAACTGCCAGCTGTGGAGCCCAGTGTGGCCACTGATCTGGCCCAGCTCTACCAACAGCAGCTTACCCCTGCCATGTTACAGCAACAGAATAAGAGACCTCGCACCCGTATCACAGATGACCAGCTAAGGGTGCTCCGCCAGTATTTCGACATCAACAACTCTCCCAACGAAGAACAAATTAAGGAAATGGCAGATAAATCAGGACTCCCCCAGAAAGTCATCAAGCACTGGTTCCGCAATACGCTCTTTAAAGAGCGACAACGCAACAAAGACTCACCTTATAATTTTAACAACCCTCCAATTACAACTCTTGAAGATACCAAAATTGATTCAAAGCCACCCTCCCCTGAGCCTCAAAAGCAGGAATCATTTGGAAATAAGAGGTCCTCAAGGACAAGGTTCACAGACTACCAGCTGAGGGTGTTGCAAGATTTCTTTGATGCTAATGCTTATCCTAAAGATGATGAATTTGAGCAGTTGTCCAATCTTCTGAGCCTTCCAACTCGAGTCATTGTTGTGTGGTTCCAAAATGCCAGACAGAAAGCCCGTAAAAATTATGAGAACCAGGGAGATGGAGGAAAAGAAGGTGACCGACGCGAGTTATCCAATGACCGATACATTCGTACTACCAACTTAAACTATCAGTGCAAGAAGTGCAGCCTGGTTTTCCAGCGCATATTTGACCTTATTAAACACCAAAAGAAGCTCTGCTACAAAGACGAGGAGGAAGACGGGCAGTATGACAGTCTAAATGAAGACTCTATGGATCTTTCTCATGAATACTATACTCTCTCTGGGTCATCAGGTCAAACACCAATGCCCTCATCCTCAAGCCTCTGCCCTCTTCCTCCTTCATCCTCTGCATTCTCTCACATCACGTCATCTGAAAAGGAGGAGCCTACACCAGCTAACACATCAAACTGTTTTGATGAAAAATCAAAAGACTCTTCAGAAACATCATTGGGCCAAAGAGAGCAGACATCTTTGAAACAGGAAACCATTCATCCATCTGAGACTCCACAGCAGAGACCACAAAGAGAGGAAAAGACACATACAGTCCCAAAGAATTCAAAACTTTCTTCACCTTCCCTCTCCCAACAGCAACAGCAAAGTGGTCCCTCCATTTCACATACCAGTCAGACCTCCCAGAGTTCCCACATGGCCCTTAATCCTCATTTAGCCTCTGCCTCACAGCAGCAATTGGCACAGCAAATGAACCCGTACCAGTGTGAGCAGTGCAAACTGGCCTTCCCTTCATTTGAACACTGGCAGGAACATCAGCAACTTCATTTCCTGAGTGTCCAAAATCAGTTCATTCATCCTCAGTTTTTGGATCGCCCAATAGACATGTCCTTCATGTTGTTTGATCCTAGCAATCCTCTGCTTGCTAGCCAGCTCCTTGCAGGAGCAATACCGCAAATGTCCAGCAACTCTGCCACCTCCCCATCAACACCCACATCCACTATGAACTCCCTGAAGAGGAAGTTGGAGGAGAAGGCAGGAACTAGTCCAGGAGAAAGTGACAGCATGAATAGTGGAGAGGAGCCACAACGAGACAAGCGCCTCCGAACCACTATTACACCAGAGCAACTAGAGATTCTGTACCAAAAATATTTGCTTGACTCCAACCCTACTCGTAAAATGCTTGACCACATTGCTCATGAAGTGGGGCTTAAAAAACGAGTGGTACAGGTATGGTTCCAAAACACAAGAGCCAGAGAAAGAAAAGGTCAGTTCCGGGCTGTTGGGCCAGCTCAAGCACACCGACGCTGCCCATTTTGTCGAGCCCTGTTCAAAGCTAAAACTGCCCTTGAGGCCCATATTCGTTCACGCCACTGGCATGAGGCTAAACGTGCTGGTTACAACCTAGTGCTTTCTGGTCTGCTATCTGAACAGGAGGCCATGCAATTGAAGATGGATCCTCTGGATATCTCGAGCTATGCTCACCTTGTCCAGTCTAACAATGATGCGCAAAGTTCATCACTGTCACCTGTGAGCAAAAGCATGGACTTGTCCCCCAGGGCTCTCCTGAGCCCAACATCTATTAAGGTTGAGGGAGCAGAGGAGTTTGAAAGCCCAACCATTTCCTCAGTTAACACAAACTTTGATCATAATAAACTTGATAATGATGATTGTTCTTCTGTGAATACAGCCATCACTGACACTACCACAGGTGATGAAGCAAACATTGACAATGACAGTGCTGATGCAAAGCACAGCCATAACAGTGGAGATTTTCTCTCTAAGTCTGGGGGTGCTGTACCCTCCATTGAGAACGATGAACAGATGTCCTCAGGACTGGTGAGTCCTGCAACGAGCTTCTACACAAAAGACTTTGAAAATGAAAATATGATAGACTACAGTGAAACATCTAGTCTGGCTGACCCTTGTTCACCAAGTCCAGGGGCCTCTGGAAGCAGAAGCATTGATAGTGGAGACAGACCTGGTCAAAAGCGCTTCCGAACACAGATGTCTAATCTTCAGCTTAAGCTGCTCAAGTCCTGCTTCAATGATTATAGGACTCCAACCATGCTGGAGTGTGAGGTACTTGGCAATGACATTGGACTTCCAAAGAGAGTTGTTCAGGTCTGGTTTCAAAATGCTCGTGCTAAGGAAAAGAAGGCAAAGCTCAGCATGGCTAAGCACTTTGGTATTAACCAGACTTCTTACGAGGGACCTAAGACAGAATGCTCTTTGTGTGGTGTTAAATACAGTGCTCGCCTCTCAGTGCGAGACCACATCTTTTCCCAGCAACACATCTCCAAAGTAAAGGATACCATTGGAAGTCAACTCGATAAAGAGAAAGAGTACTTCGATCCAGCGACGGTTCGTCAGCTGATGGCACAACAGGAGATGGATCGTATCAAGAAAGCAAATGAGGTCCTGGGACTTGCACAACAACAAGCCATGCAGCAACAAGGGATGTTTGACACATCTGCCTTGCAAGCCTTGAACCTTCAGTCAGGTTACCCAAATCTACAGGGGATCCCCCCTGTTCTCCTGCCAGGTGTTGGTGGGCCCTCCATACCAGGCTTTAACTCATCCAACTCAGGTATGACATCACACTATGTCTCTAGTATGAGTGTGAGAGTTTTGAAATACGAGATGTAAAACTACTAACTACTAATTCTCAGATGTGTTTTGCAACAATCTTAATCATGTTTTGTTTCTCTGTGTCAATTTCCGCAGCTTTAACCCCTCCGAAACCTCTGAACCTCCTGAACATGCCTGGTGCCAGTGTACCCTCACCTAGTCTCCCCACATCTGGTTTACCCAACAAGACCCCATCCTCCTCTTCATTGGCCTCGCCCAGCCCAGCTCAGGCCAGCACATCTATCGCCCACTCGAGCCCTACCCCCACATCTACATCAAACTCTTTGATGACCCAGCCAGGCCCCCATCCTGATGCGCCCAAAGATCGTGATCCTGAGAGGGCCAGGGAGAAAGAGAAACCCAAGGGGAAGGCTGAGAAGCCCCCCACACCATCCTCAGCTGGGGGTACTCCCGCTCCCTCCACTTCTGCTGCCAGTGCCAAGAAAGAAAAACCAGACACTGCTGTTCCGGCCACCTCGATGCCAACACCTGGCATGGAGTATGTGGTCGATACTGCGCAACTTCAAGCTCTACAAGCAGCTTTAGCTTCAGATCCAACAGCTCTGTTAACAAGTCAGTTCCTGCCCTACTTTATGCCTGGCTTCTCTCCATATTATGCCCCTCAGATACCAGGTACTCTTCAAGGTGGATATCTTCAGCCCATGTATGGCATGGAAAGTCTTTTCCCCTACAACCCGGCTTTATCACAGGCCCTGATGGGGCTGTCACCAGGATCTTTGCTTCAACATTACCAGCAATATCAGCAGAGCCTGCAGGAGGCACTTCAGCAGCAGCAGCGGCAGCTTCAACAGATCCAACATCCCAAAGCAAGCCAAACGTCACAAAACTCGGTGGGCCGTAAGGACTCTGCCAAAGATCCAGTAAAAACAGAGGAGCAAAAGAGCAATTCCTCAGTTGAAACCTCTTCCACTTACAACAACCTAGCCACTGAGCAGCATGAAGTGGATGGCAAAGGTGCAGACCCCCATCTTGACCAATATATCATCCCCAAAGTTCAGTATCGGCTGGCGTGCCGCAAGTGTCAAGCTGTCTTCAGCAAGGAGGAAGCAGCTATCAGCCACCTCAAGTCAATTTGTTTTTTTGGTCAGTCTGTGGCAAACCTGCAAGAGATGTTGCTCCGGGTCCCCAACAGTGGGAATGCAGCAGAAGGTGGCCTCTACGACTGCCTCGTCTGTGACACAACACTAGAAGGGGACAAAGCGCTCAGTCAACACCTGGATTCAGCCTTGCACAAACACAGAACAATCAAGAGATCCAGAAATGCCAAAGAGCACGCTACTAATTTATTACCTCACTCTTCAGCCTGCTTCCCCAGTCCTAACACCACATCTACCTCGCAGTCTGCCACTCACTCAAACAACACCCCATCCCCTCCACCAACAATGTCAGCCACCATACCATCCTCATCAGCGTCTGCATCTTCATGCACCTCCTCCTCCTTAACAGCCACTCCACTCAACACAACAGCTACAGGCAAATCATGGTCCCAGGCCCCTTTCTCCAGAGCTTTAGCTGGGAAGCCCAATACCCCTTCGTCTGCATTGTCTTCTTTTCCTCCAGTTTCCTCTCCTTCAACGGTTACCTCAAGTTCATTGAGCACCTCAGGGGTCCAGACCTCGATACCAACAGACGTCTTTACCGACGAGTCTGATTCTGACAGCAGTCAGAAGTCAGCAGACAGGCTGGGCAGGCCAGCAGAGGAGCCACAACAGCCTGGCTGTCTCAAAGACAGCAGTAGTTGTAGTAATCTCGCTAGTGTAGGATCGGACTCCATCAGATTGTAAAAGCTTTCAGTGATGAACAATATTTAAAAAAAGAAATAGAAAAAGAAAAAAAAAACACAAGACAAAAGAAAAAAAGCAGCAATGGTTAAAATGTTTAAAGTATACAAACCAATTTCAGAAAAAGATGTGTAAAGACTAATTGCAATTCCAAAGCTTGTAACCAAAAATTTAAATGATAGTTTTCCCATATCAACATGCTGGTTTTATTTTATTACAACTCCTAATATATATATATATATATATATATATATATATATATCACAGCAGTTAACAGTCGGTTATTGCTAGTGGAATGCTGTATTGCAGTGGACTGCAGTTGTTTGAATGGCCCCACAATTCTCTTTACAAAGAACGAGTCAACAAGCTGTCCCTTGTTTGCAAAAGTATTTCCGCTTAATAGCACAGTCACATAAAGCCAGTATGTACTGTATGGGAGACTAGTCTTACAGTTTTCTTGCTATCTAAGCATTCAGATACCAATGGCTTGCTAAAGAAAAGAAAAATAATGTAATGTCTATTTTATTCTCAGGTCAACAGCTCACAACCTTTTCTTGTGTTACAAAAAGTCATTAGTTTCTTAATTTTGTTCCAAACAAATGATAGACATTTCTGTTTTTGTATGACATTTATTGGCAGAAAGTATTCAGAAATGATACTAACTCAACTAAAGTTTCTGGGCATTCAATGAGTAGCTGAATTGCTGGTTTTAAACCTTCTTAATTATTATTATCATTTAATTTTTATTTGTTTGTTTGTTTTTAATGGGAGAGTTACTAATCCCATTTTACCCAGACACGAAAAGCATTGCAGACTTGGTGGAGGAAAAAGATTTTGTTTTAGGAAAAAAACTTTCTGTATTTATGATAGATATATACATTTTTGGTGTTCAGTAGATTGTTGCATTGGAAATGAATTTAAACAGTATGGTAGATTGAAAAATCTTTGTGTACATTTAGCTTTTGTATCGTCCAACTTTAAGGCGCTTCATTTGATGTTGTCTTGGTCATTCCAATAGACTAGATTAAGGAGCAGGAAACGATCTCTACTCTATTTCTGTCCAATTCTCAGCTTCTTGTTCTTGTTCTCCCAGCTGAATCTCTTTGTCACAAGGGGTTTCTCACCTTTGGTTGGTGCAGCATTGACCAAAAGTGAGGAGAAATCTGGGGTGTGTTTGAAAATTGTTCAGTTATATTTGTGTTACCTTAGTGCACTTACCACTGTCTGACTTTCTTTCTTTCTTTCTAGCTATCTATCTGTTCCTCCTTTCTTTCCTCTTTCTGTACCCCCTGCCTCTGTAGATTTGGAGATAACTGCCTCTCCTTTAGCACTACAAGCAGATACTTGTTTCCATGTAGTGTGGCTGCAGTCTGCTATAGGCTTTATGTTCATTTCAACTTTTGTGTTGTCATATATGAAAATGAAAAAAAAATAAAATAAATAATAATAATAATTCTCACGCTTTAAAACAAAAAGAAAATCCAAAGACTTAACACTTTCACCATTGGTGCATAAAGATGAGAAAAGAGGCTTCTTTATACTTGAGAATTTGTTGCTGTTTTTAAGGAAAGAAAACAAAGTTTTAAAATAAAAGAAGTACGCATCAGAGTTGCCGTTTTTGCTTCTTTGCAAGCAGACAGGTGGCTTTTTTACGTCAAATACTAAGAAAACCAAAAATCAAAAAGGGCCCTTGTCCTTGCATTGTGGAGTAGCACCGTTACAGAGCCATTGCAGTTTGTAAAATAGAGGTTTTGTTGAAGTTTCTGTCACACATGAAATCCATTTTTTTTTGTTTTCTTTCTGTAAAAAAATATATATAGAAGGTCTGGTCTTTAAGGACATATGTTTTGCTGCTAATGTAGATTTGGAAAGGAAGAATACCTAGATGCATGCTCCTTTTGCTTTTTGGCTAAGCTTTAAGAAAAAAAGAAACAAACAATAAACCATTTCCCTGCCCTGCAACATCTTTTTTTCCCCTTCTTGTTGCAAAAACGGAACTTTGAAGACTGTGAATATATGTTCCAAAGGACATTTTAGCTTCTTTTTTTTCCATTTTTGAACACACCAATGTTCTATAATGTTTGTAAAAATAACAGTGCATTCCAAATACTTCACCTGAGTTTTAATCTGCTTCTTTTTATTCAAATTGAGTATAAATCTATTTTATCCCATTTCTAAGGTGACTGTAAGCTGTTGTGTAACTCTACCATCATGGATTGCTGAATATCACCTCACTCCGATTATGATGTGTCGAGAGTGAACAGAATCCCTGCAGCCATTAAATGACTTTACTCACTTGAACTAGATCACCAAGTCATAGTGGTTACCAAAAATGTACATACTGCAACCTGTCTGGTACTTACGCATCTCCCTGATCCGGTGTCATCATGCTTCTTGATTTAGAACTAGTCTCAGAACGAAAGGCTGGAAAAGCAAGTAGGGAATTCGTTGTCTGCAGGGTTTAAAGCCATTTTCATGCAGGAAATGTCTGTTGTGGGTCTGTAAGGGGCATTTTCATTCCAAAGCATTATAAGACCGGGGAAAGCAAGATTTGTTTTAGGTGTCCCTTGTTTTGCGTGACGACAAGGTAGAAGTGTCCAAAGAGGTCCCTCACTCCAAGTCATTGCAATGGAAATGGTTGCATTTTAGTGAAATGGCCCCCATCCAATCATAAATGGAATTGCTCTTTTCTTTTCTTTTACAAATCAAGTCATTTTTGAAATGTGTAAAAGATGCTTTAGGGGGGGCGCAAACGTATTTGGCTTTAGTAGCGTATTTCCACACTTGTCCAGGTGTGTAAACAAGCATTATGTCTTGCAGAAAAATTTTATTTGGTGTTATTTGGTGTGCATGCCATTTAAATTGGGTTCCTTTGATCTGCAAGCGGATCCACTCCTCTCAAACCATGTTATCTATAATATTGTTCATAATTATTTTTGAGAAGTCCGATATTGTATAGTTTATTTTTGAATGCTTTGCATTGTTTTGGTCTCAGATAATATCTTTATGGTTATTTTCATATAACTGTATATTTTATTTTCCTTTGTTTTTGTTGTTGTCCATTTATAAATTAATGTTACAATGCCAGCTTTAAATTGAAATCACATCTATTTGTTTTCTATCATTCTCTGGCCACTTTATGGTGTTACAATGTTCCTATATTTGTTTGTCTTGACACAGTTGTGTATCTCTTGCTTCCAAAGTGTTCTCGTTTTTTATAGGCTCTCGTGTGGGGTGGAATCCCTCACAACTGTTTCAGCCAGCATGGACTTTGTATGTGCGAGCGTGAGTGTGTGTGCGTGTGTTTCATAACAGCCAGCATCAGTCTGAGTTTTTATACTTTGTATTCTATTTTATACTTTCATTTCACACCAATACATACTGAACTGCAAAGCTGAATCTTCAGTAAAGGGTTTGACAAGTCTGATGTTCAACACAATAATCTTGTAACGTGGCGAAAGAGGATACCGAAGCACTGAGCAGTTATTATTTTTGTTAATTATATGAATGTGGCCAAAGCTTCATGCAGTCGAAAACACGAAAAACTTTAGTTGGTGCCCCTGATGAGTGTATATTTATTGTGGTTAATCCAACACGTGGCTGAGATACATCAACTCTCATTGGGATACTTGATTTTTTTTTTTTTGTGGACATTTTGCAAAGAGAGAACGAAAGCGACAGGTTTTGCTGTAGAGGTCATCCTTTTGCCCACTGTGAAAATAAACATGTATACAGATATAGATATATTTAAAGAAGACATCAACACTTTTCTTTGAAATGACAAAGAAGGAAATAAAGAGAAACGAACTCTGGGAAACTTGAGAGATGTCATTGAGATGTCTGAGAAGGCTGTTGTTGACACACCAAAACTGGGCATGGGAGCCAAAGGCAGGGCCGACGCGCCCCAATATCAAGTCATTATTTAAGTAACACTATATGCCGACGGGAGTGGACTCTGCAACCAGTGGACATATGTGACACGGAGAGGAATTTATCTCCCTTTTCTCTCTCTCTGGTTCTGCATCTACTTGGACATTCTCTGCACTTCTGAACGGGATGGACTCAAACACTCGCATACGTTGTCTCCCAGTTCACGGTGTTGCTACCTGTTTCATTTCCTCCTACCCGCCTCAGTGACTGACACGTGGTTCCACTCTGGCGTGGAGTTGACCGGATCCATCCAACCATAAAGAGTGACTTTACTGTTCAAGGTGAGGGGATTTTCCTGGGTGTCATTCCTGAGGAAGCAGATAAACACAAAAAAGCGAATCAACCAAAATTAATAACCAAACTAACAAGCAACCAAACAAGAAGAAAAAAAAAACAAAAAAAAAACATTTGCTCCAGTTTCAACGATGAACTGCTGCTGGAGCTTCCTGTTCCTTTAGTGGCTCCTGGTGCCACAGCATTTTTGATGCTTTTTGTGTTTCCTTTTTTTTATTTTTTCTCTTTCGTTCTCCTCAAATTATTCCTCCTCCTCCGAGCCTCACAAGCACGGCTCTGTGGCTCCAGGTAGCCCATCCGAGGGTAGAACTTACAGCCTTGCAATGTACAAAAAGAGCAAGTTAAACCAAAAATGTTGTTCTTGATGTCTTTTCTATACTGTAGTCTTGTTAGCTTTTTGTTACTGTAATTATATGATGAAGATTTCCAAACTGTACCAAATTACATGGAGACTAACATACATAAACCACATGGAACTTCAGACTTTTAAAGAGAAACTTTTGTCACAAAAACCTTGTTGTCCTAGTTAAGTTGATTGTAGATGGTAATTGAATATACTCCTTTGAAAATATTTCATCAAGTATGTTTCTTGCTCATTGTGATACATTAAAAAGTATGAGCATAAAAGTTTATCGTGTGATAAATTTTTGGCATGATTGAAGAACACAACACAACAAAGGTCACTTTTAATTAAAATGCACATTTTTGGCATTAAAACACACATGGATCCAATAATAAGCAACATAGTTCATCTGGCGTGAGCTTGATTCTGAAAACGTAATTAACCCTAATTGCAATTAATCTAATGCAACATGCACATGATTTGACAGCGCCCGAACACACATTCCCAGTAG